GATGTACCCGATGCCGAGCGCCTCCAGCGAATTCTCGAAGGACTGGCAGACGTCGTGGAAATGTCTAGATGTTCGGTTTAGCACCTGTCTTGCTGTGTGCACTGAAATGGCTTACCCAAGCTTTGTGGTCACGAACACTTCGCTGCGGGGAATGCCTGACTCTCGGATGGCCTCACCGACAGAGCTCTCGTTACCTGGGAGACAGAAGAGGTCATTATTCGATACGATCTGCACAAATTCTCTCGATTACTTGCCATAGCCAGGAGCCTGTCATGTACGTCATGATTAGAGGCCAGACTCTTGCCTTGCACCCGAACACATGAACAGCCGCTTACAGTATCCAGGTGACGATATCCGACCTGAGGAGATGCATCTACTGAGCTCTAGAACCTGTCTGAGGAAAATAGGAGACGCACTTTGAGCGCGTTCAGGCACATCGCCCTCGTAGTCGTACGGTCTCCCTCGATCCCAAGCCAGCATCTGTCACCGAAGATCGTCGTGAGCTGTCAACAACTCCGAGGGTACACGCGAGTCACACGCACCCTTTGCCGACTCCGGGCATCTCGATGCCGTTGTTCAACGTGAATTGCGGCACGTTCGCAGCCATTCTAGGAGGCTGGTGGCACGATATGTAGTGGATGGCGCTCTACCTGTGGCCGACCTCGCGTATAAATACGCCGTCCACGACCTGTGGATTATAAAATCAGCGCCAGCCAGGTGCTGTTCGAGGGGTGCTTACTGATGCATTGAGGGAGAGGCGGAACGGACATGACAGCCTGAGCGCTGGGCACTTGTGCAATCGAATCGCAGGGGTCGCTCCGGCCGGACGATGGCGTACACGCAGAGCCGTACCCAGACTCGCCAAAGTATCCGCGCTCGGCAGTCCAATTACGCGTTTGTCACGGCAGTCCACGTACTTGCGCGTTTGGCACGGCAGCCTCTCGCGGTGTCCTTACTCCGTCGTCCGCTGCGTAACGCTGGGCCGGTCTCAAACGGCCGTTGCCCGCATACTGCAGCCTAACCGCCGCGACGCGTACCGTGCAGGGGCTCCAGAGCCGGAGAGTGCTGTTCCAGAGTAGCGCGCCGAGCATTGTACAATGCCCGCGCGAGCCGCATCACACATGCGGGAGCGTCACTTTTGGGGTGAAAAGAGCAAGGGGGGCACAAAGACGTCCTTCGACGCACGTCTGTTACGACGTGACGCAGCGCAACTTGAAGATGATGAGGGAGCACATCGCAGCACAGGAAGTCTGTTCGTAGGCTTTTGATCGACGTCTGGTGAGCTTGGGCAGAGGTGAGTACGTGCGGCAATGGCAATTGCGCCACCACGTAAGGCAGGTCCGTAACGGGGTTTGCCGCCCATTCAAGGGGAAAATTGGTAAGCTTGCTGCGCAATGTCAGCATACAGACGCCGCTCGTACACGGCGCTGCGCACAGGCGGCGGCTGCTACCACAAGAACGCCACACGAGTGACAGCCTGTGCAAATGACGCGTTCGTGTAGGAGGAATTGGTAGGCTCGATACCAGCCGCCTTGGGCTGCGGAATGGCAGATGTTGTACCGACCGTCGTCCCACCCTCGGCGCACGTCCCCACCAACTATGTACTGAATAGGCTGGTACTAACGAGTCTGTGGGAGGGACGCACTATATGCGGTTCTCTCCAGAGTCTCCAAGAGATCTAGGCGGTTTCGAGAGCTGTTCCACGCAGAGGTAAGCTTTCGCCGTGCCAAACTACCAAACCGAATGACCTTGCGATGCTGACACAACTGCATCAGATTTGACCTTTTAACATCCGGTTAAGACGATGGCAGCGGGAACAAAAGGAGTAGTACAAATGGTATTCTGAGAAAAAGCTAACAAAAGACTAATATTCCGTGAGAATTCCATGTATACACGCATGCAAAACGTCTGTCCTGTGAACACAAGAGTTCGAGAGAGTCCAATTCCACCTCACTCCAACCGTTTAAAGAACAAGCCCGGCGCCTGCCACGATGCCAGCGAGGGCCACACCCATGCTCGCCAGCGCATTCCAGTCGACAGCGACCGCGCCGGCCGCGCCCGTGCTCGTCGTCGCACTGCTCGCGGCCGAGCCCGATGCACTAGACGCGGCGCTCGTCGCGGAGGAGAGGACGCTAGAGAGTGCGGCTGAGATCGACGACGCGCCAGAGGACGCGGCGCTCGCGGCAGAAGATGCGACGGAGGACGCGGCGCTCGATGCGGAGGACGCGAAAGAGGACGCGACGCCCGAGGCCGAAGACGCAGCAGAGGACGCCACGGAGGCGGCTGACGAGGCTGACGAGGCTGCGCTGCCGGTGGCGCTCGAGGAGGAGGCGGCGGC